GCACACATTGGTGTACTGGGTAGCAAAACAGTGGTCTGCCAACAACCTTGTTATATGTCTTTCCCATGGCCTCTCTCTTCTGTTCCTGACAGTATAACCTTCTTTTGGGGAAATGCTCCTCCCTCCGTCTTGATGATGTAGGTCTAATGGGTGTAGCCCATCACAGACACACAGACTGGCAGTAATACAGCCCAGGACAGCAGGAATCCTTCCTTGGAGTTTTCTAATCCAAGGTAGGAAAACACAACCTCTTGAGTGGCGACTCTGTGGCTGTGCACCTGAGGCCATCAGCAGTATTAGGAGAGGGTGGTTCACAGCAGCAGGGAATGGAGATGGCATTCTGAGAGTAACCAAGAGATGGAGAAGCTACAGGTGGGCATCCCAGCAGCTTTTCCATTGCTTTTGTGATCCATGAACGCTTCTGCCCTTTGCTTCCTGCTTTTGCCTTTGTCTTTGTGGGGTTGTCCCTTTTTTCCCTTCTTGTTTTTTTTAACTAAGAACAGGTAACATGAGATCTACCCACTTAACACGTTTTTAAGTGTACAGTGTAGTATCCATTATGAACACAATGTTATAGAGATCATTAAAACCTAAACTTTTTCATCTTGCTTAATGGGGTTTGTGCTTTTTTTTTTTAAGATTTTTTTTTTTATTTATTTGAGAGAGAGAGAATGAGATAGAGAGAGCATGAGAGGGGTGAGGGTCAGAGGGAGAAGCAGACCCCCTACTGAGCAGGGAGCCCGATGCGGGACTCGATCCCGGGAGTCCAGGATCATGACCCGAGCTGAAGGCAGTTGCTTAACCAACTGAGCCACCCAGGCGCCCCTGGGGTTTGTGCTTTTTGACGTTAAATTTTAATACCTGAAGTTAAAAAGAGTTGATACTAATATATCAACCAAATGCACAAAGCAGAAGTTTGATATTGGAAGTCTTTGTTACTGCCATAGTTCTATGAAATGCCCAGAGAACTGTGAAAGTTTAAATATTCATAAAAATTCATAAAGCTAAGGCTTTAGGAGATATTAAAAAAATTAAAAATATTGGCATCATTTACCATATTAGTCTGAAAGTACATTATGATTAGAAACAGTACAATAGTCCAGAGAATAATATCACCATCCACATTCTGAACCTTGTGGAAGGAGACGGACCGAAGCAAGCCTTGGAGGAATCAGGTAGAAGGGGAGGGATTTTAAGTCTCTGTTTTAAAGTTTTGAAAGTTTTTTGTTGTTTGTTTTTAAGTGTATTGTTTTGGTTCTTTTGAAAGAAAGCAAATTTCCAGAAACTAATTATACTGAAGCAAAAAATGAAATTTCTACTCAATTATAGCAATTTCAATACAGGCATACTAAAAGAATATTATACAGAGCAAACCCCCACAGTGGACCCTTGCAGGAACATAATTCATTGTATCTCACATGACAGCCAGCATCTCTGCAATTGATAAGGTTTTCTTCTTTAAAAAGTAACTCTTGGGGTGCCTAGGTGGCTCAGTCCTTAAGCATCTGCCTTCAGCTCGGGTGATGATCCCGGGGTTCTGGGATCAAGCCCCGCATCAGTCTCCTGGCTCAGCGGGAAGCCTGCTTCTCCCTCTCCCACTCCCCCTGCTTGTGTTCCCTCTCTCGCTGTGTCTCTCTCTGTCAAATAAATAAATAAAATCGTAAAAGAAAAAAAAAAGTAACTCTTGGGGTGCCTGGATGGCTCAGTCGGTTACGTGTCCGACTCTCGACTGTGGCTCAGATCATGATCTCAGAGTCCTGGAATCAAGCTCTGTGTCGGTCTCTGCATTCATCAGGGAGTGGGCTTGAGGATTCTCTCTCTCCCTCTTCTGCTGCCCTGAGGCCCACTCATGCACATGCACCCACTCTCTTTCTAAAATAAATAAATCTTTAAAAAGTAAATAAACAAAAATAAAAAGTTAACTCTTACATTTGTGACAATCTTCTATTTGGACTAATATAGTATTTTTGACCCTTGTGGCTGTCACTATTTTTATACCCACTGCCTATTGAAAAGATAGAAACTGTAGCTCTTAAATTTTTCCTGCATTTTTATTACTGTGCATGTTTTGTCTGATTCAGTGATTTATGTCTTACACTGAGCTCTAAAGGAACTTTAATCCCCTTGAGGATTCTCTGCCCCAGCAGAGGAAGTTCTGTGATTGTGCTGATGTGTGGGTTCCTAGCTTTCATCAGACTCTGGAGACACAGGTCTGACGACATTCAGAGGAGGAAAGGAAAACTGATGAGTCCTTATGGAAGTATATAGAATACTAGCTGGAAATTTACCAGGTTTGGTAACTTGGGCCATGAAAAGCCAAATCTATGAATTATGCAATTAATGTCCACATGTTACATCACAATCTCATCCCAGATATAAATGAAATCTCCAAAATTCTAATGACTAAATCGTTAGGGTGGGACCATCTTGTTCCCATATGGCCTCTACTCCAGCAACTACTCTTCTCGATAAATGAAAGCGCCCAGTCTTCCATTCTGGCCCGCTAAGGGCTTGGCTGCCTTTTTTTGCTGCTCAACCCCTATACAGTGTGACAACCACCTTGAGGACTGACCAACTCTACTAGACTTAGCTCAGCTAGAAAGAGGTACTAGCTAAACTGCTGACTTTAAAATAAAATCTTAATCCAGGCTATAGTATACCACCTGAAACAACTTTCAAAAGTGACTGACAACTGCCGCAGGCCACTTAATCCTAAGCCTGGGGCTCAATACTGCAACACCCAGCATAAAGGCTGGTCCTTTCACAGAAGCAGCAGTGATTAGCACTGTTCCTGAGCCCCCTCTGTCAGTCTTCTCAAGCAAAAAACATTGTTCAGAAAGAGGCCCCCCCTCTAATAGCCTCTGGCAGCTACGTTTAGCTGCGGTCACTGAATGTCTGGGGCCTTGGTCACCGGGCACTTAGGGCCCTCAGGGACTCAAGTGACTCAGAGTGACAAAACTAGTAAATGAAGAGAACAACTCAGATGAAGTAAAACCCTAATAGCTGGCCTTGCTGAGACTAATCTACCACGTGCAAGCTGACTTGTTTCAATAATCCACCTTGGCCTCTTGGTTTTGAAATGGAAACATCCCTGGAGTTGATATTTAGATTCTGGGTCTGGATTTGAACGCTAAGGGTGTTTTAACATAAAAAATTAAGGACTAAGGCCAGTGAGGGTTGTTGCATTATCTCAGTTGGTGGGAGAGATTTAATTGTTCTGTATCCTTCCAGAAGTTCTCTGTTCTTCCTTGAAAGGGTATTATTTGTAAGTTACCTCTTCATACCCACCCACTTGTTCTCTCATTAGTTTACTTCTTAAATAATGAAAACAGTATCTTAAATTCTCACATAACCCCACAAGGTAGACACTCTTATTGTCCCCATTCTATAAATTTAAAAAATGAAGATACGAATCTTGTTCAAGGTCAGGGGAGGGTCAGGATCCAAATGCCGATAGTCTGGCTCAAGTCTATTCTCTAGGCATTGATACCCCTCAGCTCTGCCCAAAGGAAGCGGTGTGTCTGTTCCCTGCTGGTAGTGTCTCAGGAAGGTGGAGGGCGAGCGCTCTTACCTGGTTGGTCGAGTCTCCTAGTGGATAACACTGCATTATCAGGTCACTCTAATTTATTAAGTCCCGAACTCCTCTATTCCAGGGTAGCCTTACAGTGCACTCCTTAGCTTCCTTCCAAGGCTCTTTCCCAAACTTGCTTGATGGTAAGAATCACCTGGAATACTTATTGTTGAAGGTGTAGCTTCTCAGGATCTCAGGATCCACTGGGTTTGATGTGGTCCCAGAAGATTATATTTTTAACAACTGACCTAGATGATTCTTCCGATTCTTCTCATCAGTCAAGTTTGGGAAACAGTGCTCCAGGAGTTTTAGCCAATGGGAACAAATACAGTTGATCTTAAGTATTATATATTATATGTTAAGTCAAAGTATCATTAAGAAGATGACATTTCTACAGCTGAATTATCCAAAGCAATCAGTACATATGGCACAAAGTAGTTTTCTTCAGGAAGAACTTGGGGAGTCAGGTGGAATGTCTTTGTTGTTTTTTTTTTCTTCTCTTTGGGTGATGACTGTTAGAAAGAATTCTTTAGGGCGCCTGGGTGGCTCAGTTGGTTAAGCGACTGCCTTCGGCTCAGGTCATGATCCTGGAGTTCCGGGATCGAGTCCCACATCAGGCTCCCTGCTCCGCAGGGAGTCTGCTTCTCCCTCTGACCCTCCTCCCTCTCATGCTCTCTGTCTCTCATTCTCTCTCTCGCAAATAAATAATAATAATAAAAAAAAAATCTTAAAAAAAAAAAAGAAAGAATTCTTTAATGGCTGTGCCCCTTGAGGGAGTTCCTGCAATGCTCTGATTATGGAACAGCTCAAATCAAACAGAAAGTGAGCCATTTTATAGAGTTCTTTTAAGTCCTGCCTAAGAGAATTTTGGAGAAGAGTAAATTAAATAAAGAAGAGAAAGGAGTACACAGTTCTAGCTCCTTGTAGGACCCTACAGGAAACTCCTTGTATAACTAAGAGAGAGACTCAGGCTTTCAACTTAAATGTTCATGAATCATATATAGAATGATTTAGGAGAGTATCAGAGATTAATTCAATTCACACAGTCTAATCAGGAAGCAGAAACGATCTTTGACATTTAAAGAACACAAATGCAAAATTGTTGCAATTCATGATCATCAAAATACTGTTTAATGTTAAAAAAAAAAAAAAAAAAGATCTCAAAAGTGCCTAATCTGCTTTGACACTCTCTCTATCCACTGCTTATCACAAATGAAGAGCTTCCACCCCAGGCACCACTCACAAGCAGACTCCTTCGGTTGCTGTATTTACGAGTTAGCAGGAAAAAAAGGAAGAAAAAAATTAGAAAATAATATTAAAAGACAGTTAAAGGAGGAGAAAGAAAGCCAGTCCTTTACGTCCCGTGGAATGCTCTGCTTCCCAGGCCAGGCCAACTCTGAGCAGTGACTGAGGCGGGAACCCTACATACCTCTTGGTGGGAGTGGGTGCTCCGGAGGACGTGTGGCTCACCATGGTGTCATTCATATTAGCCAGCGGCCGAGGTGGACTGAAAGCAAAGACATTTACATTATATTAATAATTACCAACATGACCAGGAGAAACAAATCAAAGAGTGATAAGAGCAAAGGAACCAACTATCATTCCTCCTGATAAGCACAGTGAGAGCCAGGTGGGAATCGATAAGTGCAGCCCAAGCAAACTCCACAGGAAGGGTTCTCGAGCTCAAAGCCAACGGGCCACAGAGCTGTGCTGTACCAGGAGGAGTGACCAATTACACACACACCGCAACACGGAGTAACTCCGCTGGCTTTTGTTTCATAGTTTAGGACACAAGTCTGAGCTGCTACTTAATTTCTCTGCATTGTAGGTGCTTTCCAGGGTTATGAGACCTTTGATGTTTGTAGTATACAGGTCACAATGGCAACATGCATGTTTTTCCTGATTTGGTTAGAGATCACACTGTCTTCCCTCGGACTTAGTTTCCATATTTTTTCCAAAACAGACTGTTAAATACTAAATTCTTTTATTAGGGCGCCTGGGTGGCTCAGTTGGTTAAGCGACTGCCTTCGGCTCAGGTCATGATCCTGGAGTCCCGGGATCGAGTCCCACATCGGGCTCCCTGCTCGGCGGGGAGTCTGCTTCTCCCTCTGACCCTCCTCCCTCTCATGCTCTCTGTCTCTCATTCTCTCTGTCTCAAATAAATAAATAAAATCTTTAAAAAAAATAAAATAAAAAAAAATTCTTTTATTAGTCCTTTACTAGAACCTTAACAATTTTATACTGATCCTCTAATTAGAATGCTTCCTTTTATAACCTGATCCAAATTTAAATTTGAAGGTAAGTATTTTTAACAACTTGTCTCTAGCGCTGGTTTTCTGGAGCCAAGGTCTATTGCTTCGTCTTGGAGAGTCTTAAATGAATGAATCCAAAGTTACCAAAAGGGATCTATGATTTTGCCTTTCAGCCGTCTTCAGCTCCTCTCCCTCCTGACCAAGTTCAGCTCCAAAGGGTTTCTGCCTTGCATGTGGAGCCACATGACTGTTGCTAAATATTACTCCTGGGAAATCCCTCACTTCCTCTTCTAAATTGAAAGAAGTACTTCTCAGAGAAATTTGTCCATCAAAGCCAAAAAGTGAAGTAGAAAAGTCCTGCTCTCATATTTAGATGCTGGGAACTAGCTCCTGGTTTCTCCTTATATTTAAGTGCTGAGTTAATCATATAAAGTGTTCTTGTAGAGGTTATACTTAGCAAGGCTTGGTGAATATTAAGGGACCAGAGTCTTTGCTATTTTGCAGGTTTTACAGTACACTCAAACAGGGACTCAAGGGAAAAATTTCAGGTAAAGCCAAGGAATCTAAAGGAAAGGTTAAGAGGGATGGATCGATCTATCAACCTACCTGTGTACCTACCTACCTACCTACCTACCTACCTATCTCTGTATCTGTCTATATACACTCCTCCCTTTCTTCTAACTCAATTTCATTTCTGGGTAAGGAAATATTTTAAATGATTTTTCATTTAATGGACAGGATCAAAGATGGAATGTAATTTGCAGGGAACAGATTTAGGTCTCCTGATTTTTAAGCCACAGCACTATGTTTACTGTTACACATTCCTCCCTTTATGTGACAAGTCACAAAGTAAGACATTCAGAATTGAAATATGCCTTTCTAGGCGAGAATTTAATTCCACACTATTCATCTCCCTACCTATCTTCCAGGCAGGTATCCAACATTGCCCCCAAACTTTCAAGCCTATTAATGCCCATGGCTGTGCTGCGTTATAATCAATCGTTTTAGGCTGACTAATTAAACTGAATACAGAGATTAACTTAATTTTCATCCTAAATTTATATTTTTGCCTCTAGTCCTTTTAAATCAATTGTCCAAATGGAACAAGGAGACAATTCCTATGAGAGAGACAAATCCAACACCATAGCTTTTCATGCTTGAGGGCACCAGAAACATTCTGCTCCTGAAAATAGAATGGGCTTTGCCTCTTTAATATATTGTTATTCGTAACCCATTTCCCAAATAAGATAAGGACATGCTCATGTTGCTTTCAGAACTAATGCAGTTACCTAGTATTTTTCAATATTGAAGATACTACTACATTCAATTTCCTGTCTGATTTTCTCAGAGGAAAAATGACAATAGAAAAAAAAAAAAACTTCTTAAAAATTTCTTACACATGGATCCATGCAATAAAATTTCATGATTTGTAGTATTTTGTTTGGTCTGATGCCACAAAAGTCATTAATAATCATCTCTATCTCTTGGCAGATATCATGCACAATTATTATCTTAGAGCACACATATCAAAGCCTCTTCTCTAATATTCAGAACCAGACAGTAATGATTACACTGTAAGTTGGAAGGTAATCATAACTCCCCCCAAGCTTCATAGCCTTTGTGAACTTCTAGCACGTTTTGCTAGAAAAATAGGTACTATGTGTTTGAGGTCCAAAATGAAAGAGGTATTTGAAAACATAAAGGGGGTCTTTACTGTAGGATCTACCAAAGACCCACAATTCACTGTGAAAGCCAACAATTCAGACGTGGTCTTAGAAGATGTAATATACTATAAATGACTTCTGGCTTAAATGACTTCTGTTTCATAGTTCCTATAAGACAGCTGAAAGAATGCTTCCAGGTGTGAAGTAGACATTAATGGTACCAGTTACAGAAACTTACAAAGCAGAATTGATCCAAGTGATCAGATCAGTTTTGGTAGTCTTCTTTAACATTCAAAACCTGTTGAATACATTGAACAGGTCACCAGATGTTCTACATCTTCCTTTGTTGAAGATCTCAGCAAGGTATCTTTAGACACTAATGAGTTCTGTGATACCCAAATGACCACCAACCATCACTTGGTACAAATTCGGAAGGTTCCTTCTTTGTTCATAAGACATGCCAATTTTTTGATGAGAAGACAGAAGCAAATGGATGATACAAATAGAAGTAATCTGCTAGGCAGAAGAGGTAGGTATAAAAAGACGACTTGGAGAGAATTTTAAAAATCTTAATCAAAAGGAAAGAAGCATTCTTACTGGGTGCCTACTCATAAAAGATAAGTAAGACTATTTTTACCTCAATAACCTAATCATATATTGATGAAGACAGATATATAAACAAATTATCACTATGCAAAGTAGTGGGGAGCAGCAACACAAGTACAAAGTGTTGAGTCCAGTGAAGAGCAGTGACTCCTGCCTGGAGAAAGGAGGGGCAAGAGTAGTCAGGGCGAGCTAACATTGAGGGAGAGAGATTCCCAGCTACAGAAAAAAAGTTAAGGGCACCCCAGTTGGACAAAGTGATATGGAAAAGGGGACTAAAACCCAAAAGTACATGGCATATTTGGGACTTACTTAGTTGGCGGACTCAGAGGCACTTGAAGGGGAGTAGCTGAAAATGCCTCTGGAAAAGTAGATTAGGGCCAGGATGTGAATGAAGCCTGTTCTACCACAAGCTAAGAAGTCTGGACTTTATCTAGAGGCAGTGGGGGAAGCACAGAATACTTTCGAGTCAAAGGATGATGTACCTATGGCTGGGCTTTGAAAAGATAACCTGAGAAGCTTGTAAATCATTGGTTTTAATCAAAGGTGTACATAGGAATCATCTTGGAAGCTTTTTGTAAAACAAGTACCCAAGGTCTGCCCTCAATTTAGTGAACCTGAATCTTGAGGGGAAAGAGGACTTTTTCTAATGCTTACCCCATTTAAAAATCATTTATGTACAATGGATTGGGAAGAAGGATGGAATGGAAGCTGGGAGACCAATTAAGAGGTTATGACAATTGTCCAGGTCAGGGATTACAAGGGTGGATAGTGGGAAAGAGAGAAAAGAAAAAATACTGCTCAGGTAAAAAAGATAAGGTAGAGGTGCCTGGGTGGCTCAGTCGTTAAGCGTCTGCCTTTGGCTCAGGTCATGATCCCAGGGTCCTGGGATCGAGCCCCGCATCGGGCTCCTTGCTCCGCGGGAAGCCTGCTTCTCCCTCTCCCACTCTCCCTGCTTATGTTCCTGCTGTCTCTATCACTCTCTCTCTCTGTCAAATAAATAAATAAATAAAATCTTAAAAAAAAAAAGATAAGGTAGGAGAACTGAGTCAGGTACGTGATATCTAGAAAGCAGTTGGAAGAAGGAGAATAGGAACCCAGGTGAGATATCAAGTTTGAAAATAATTGAGCATCATCATTTAAATTGTAGCTATTCATTTGAGTATTCTGATCACTATAAAGGTATATTTTTATTTACTATTTTCAAATAGAGCAGGATAGGTTTGCAGAAATATCCAGTAAGAGGCTGGCTTAGATAACAGGTAAAGAGCTTCCAGTTACTGGTCAGATACACCTCTTGCTATAAAGTAAAAATTTCATTTACGGATACAAGTCATTTTCACATTACTTCTCTTATGACCAGACCACTCCATTCTGGCAGATGCTCTGGAATGTGCACTAACTTGAAATTAAAATTGCTACAGAATCTCTCTGAAGGTTTTGAAAGCTAGGAATAGATGATGAATAATTCATCATGCATTTAAAATCTTACAGGACAAATTATATATAACTGTATATTTCTTTTTTCATTTATCAACTATTTGTTCTCTACAAAGTGGGTGGTATGGTGCTAGCTGCTGGGGATAAAAATGAAAAAGATAAAAACTTAAGTCCTATGAGGAAGAAAAATTATTTATAATAAAAATAATTTATAGAAAAAATAATTACAATATAATGCAATAAGTATTTAATAGAAGTAAGAAAAACTGCAACATGCCATGGGAAAATATTGAGATCACCTTACCACATGAAAAACAATGTATTTCCAGGGTGTTAAAGAGCTAAATGTAAATGTTAAATTATATAAATTAGAAAAAAACATATGGGTCTATGGATAGAGAGGAGTTCCTAAGCTCAAAAGCAATGGAAAAATTAGGAAGGAAAAGAACAATTAATTTGAATTTAAAAAATCAGAAAAGAAAGAAAAATATAAATTTAGGACACTATTTCAACAAATGTGACAGAGCAAGAAAATTAATAGCCTTAAT